GGACGTGCTAATCCGGTTGTAAACCTAACCAGAATAAAAGCAGAAACACTAATCCCTAATTTTCTTACCTTTTCTTACCTCCCTTTGCCAACTCTAAGTGAAAGTGCCAGTAAATTGTTTAGTTATTCCATCAGAACTGACGTTTACTGTCTATATAAGTAATCTGAGTTAATGTGAAAGAAATTCGGACGTGGGTTTTATCTCATTTACTTAGACGCTTAATATAGGAAGTCCACAATCAGGTGTAAACTATGATTTTGTTCAATTTGTGTAAATAAATGATTGCATAATCTTTTATGAATCAACTTGAACTTGTCTGACGTTCCCTCATTTTGTCACTTCACTTTGCACAGACAAATATTAACGTAATGAGGAAAACCTTGGTAAAATTTACTCTCATAACTTAGTTATAAGAAGATGTAGGGAACTTATTTGCATAAGTAACTCACCCTTACATATTGGTGGCCGTACGAGTCCTATTCCTGAATGGTGAACTCTGATTTAAATATTTTTCTCATGAAAAAATATTTCTGTGCATTGTGAAAGTAAAAAATATTACTTTCTCATGTTGGCAAAAAGAGTGATGTTATAAGACCCTGTTGTGACTGGAGGTGTTCAGAATATAGCAAGAAGCTGCAGATTTTTGTTGTTATTCTGTCATTCTGAGGTTGTAAACAAGGCTTTAACATTGATTATGCTTAAAAATATAAGCATTTCACGGTTTATAAAGGTGATGACGTCACTTCCTGAAAAGGGAATATATACTCCTCTCTAATAAATAGCGCTGGGCTATTTTATTTTAAAATCAAATCTGTGAACGCAGTTGAGATTTTATTTGCATAATTCCGCTAACATCTGTTATGAGTTTACCCACTCGTAAGTTGTTAAACGGAATACATGAGGAGTAACAGAGTAGCGTAACACAGAGCTAAATAGTTAGCTTTGAGCTACTTCCGGGACGAAAGACCGAACGGTACGTCTCGATTCACGGCGACAAAAGCCGTTTCGTCAGCCTTGAGCAGTCGATAACACTGCAATTTGTCGTTTGAACCGCTTCAGAGAACTTTGGGTGTGTTTAAACGCAATTTTTGAGCAGTTTTGGACTCGAGCTATGATTAGCCGAGCCGTAGGGGGAACACGGAAGGTAACACACACGGGACTTCCGGTTCACCCCGTCAGCTTAAAAGAAGCTGGTTTGTATCACTAGCGTAGTAAGAAGCTAACGCTAGTTCATTTTTGAAATGCGGTGTTTTAAACTGTGGTTTAAAACTGTGAATTTATCTTCAATACGTGTTTCTTGTGTGTAAAAGCTGCGCTTGTTGACTTTTGCACTATAAAAACGGACAGCCGTTTTTATTCTGAAGGAGAGCATTGAAGGCGGGATTTCCTGTTCAGACGCTCCGGTCATTGGACAGGAGCCGCGGTACTGCTGTCACTCAAAGGTGAGTCAGGCTGAGGTGTTTTCCTTTGCAACGGCAACATCTGCTGGTTGATTTAAGGTATTACACTCCTAAAAAGCCATTTTCACCAACACACATTTTTCCTCAACTTTTCAGCCAAAATAGATTAAAACACAGTTTAATCAACTCTGTTTATTCAAAATAAAATAAAGCTTAAACTTATGCATTTAGATAAAACCATTTCAATTAAAAAAGGGTTTATTTCTACAAAATCTTATATATAAACAGGTTTAACTGTATTACAC